GGTGAGGGGCTGGGGGTCGGCTGTGGGCGGGGGGCCTAAGGGCTGGTTGGGTGGTGCGGGGAGAGGTGGGGCGCGGGGGCCGGCCCCGGAGGGCGAGGCCGCGCCCGCACAGCGGGCGATGCAGCGTGAGCGTAGGCGTGCAAGCGCCCTGTCCCTGCCTGACTCTGCAGTCCAAGGCGCCCTGCTGCGTCCCCCCTGCATGCGTGGGTGCCGCAGAAGCTGCATGGCCCACGCCCAGCCGCATCCAACCACTCAACTCCCAGCCCAACCCAGCCCGCGCTCTCAGCAACCCCGGCATTGGCGCCCCACACTTTGCTGTGCGTGAGTCCAGATGACACCATTACTCAGGGAACCTTTCATTACGCCCTGACACCTGGCATCGTAGGGGTGGATGACCCAAGCGGGCAGCTCGAAGCCCTCCTCTGCCTCCAACTCCTCACGAGTGTGGTACGCCGCGCTCAAGAGCAGCAGCTGCAAACCAGCGATGGCGTTGGCAGTGCGAACCCACAATCAGCATCCATGGGCATGGCGGCGCGAAGGGCGAGAGTTGCAGGGGCTCCGAGGTGGGGGTGGGGGTAGGGCCCGGCGTGCATTCGGGGCTGCTGGCGGCGCCGCTTCTGGAGGCGCTGAGGGACGGGCGCGATGAGGCGCACATTCCTGGTGCACCGGTCCGAGAAATGACTGGCCCCGCCCGCCTGCCAGGCATCCACTTTTGGTGCTCTGATCGAGCGCCCCGCCGGCATAGCGCCGCCTTGCCCCCACCATACAGACTGCAGGCAACCGCAGCAGCAGGGACGGCCGCTGCAGAAAGGCCAACCTTATTTGAGCCGCTCTTGTGGAGCACACCGCTGCCAGTCCGAGACGCGAGGCCCGCGCCGCCACCACCGCGACCCTGCTGGCTGCCCATGCTCGAAAACGAACCGCGTGAATGCGATCGCTGCATCGGCAGCGGGGCGAAACGCAGCGAGGTCGTGCGCGTCGGCACGGCCTCATCTCCTACTTCGCCTCGACTGTCGGCGTGCGGTAGGTCCGCGGCGTTGGACTCCGCCGAATTGAGGGTGCCCGAGCGGCGCGCAGGCGCAAGCGCCGCGATGCTGAGCCGGTGTCCACTGGGAGTATCACTCCCTATATCACGTGTAATTTTGGGTGCATCATGCTCGTCCGCTAGAAGAGGCGTTCGCAGGGCCATGGTCACTACTGTTGCGCGCCCCCGCGGGGATCGTCGCGATTCGCAATGCCCGGGGATGTGTACGCGTGAGCCTGATCATCCAAACATGTTCGCTCTCTGCACAACCACCAGCCGACGGTGCCGTGCTCCATGCATTGATTGTGCGGCGTCACATGTTTGCGCACATGTTGGCACATCGTTGCCGCAGCGGCCGCGAACCCAGACGCCTACTGCTGGATTCTCCCGCCGCACCTTCCCTGCCAGATTACTGGTGGTCTGTTTTGACCATGGCCAGGCACCCTGTTCACCATGTCTGCTTTAATGACATAAGGGCATACCTCTGACCTTTGCTGGACCAGGGCAGCAGATTGACTAGGGTTTTTCGGTACAGTACTGCAAATGCCATTTGAGACTGACGTCACAAAGCATGCAGTGCGAGGCCCACCTGTACTTTCCACCACACCTAATGCAGCGCAACAGTTCGTGGTGGTGGGGCGGTTGCATACAACATTGCGAGGCGGCGCCAAAGCTTTCAATCATAAACGCCGAGCGGCCGGCTCGCGCATGCCGGGTGCTGGTATAAGGCAGCGCATGCACCTTCCCATGCCCGCGCTGAGTTGCAGCTGTATGCGCCACTCATCATGCGGGTCAGTATGGCGCATGACAAGCATGCAGTGGTTTCGTAAATTCTCCCTGGCCTGCACGAGTTGGCTGTGCACAGGCGATTGTGTTTTGCAGCGGGGCTTGTAGCCGCAGAAGAGCTGCAACGCTGCGTGTGCTGCGTACCCGGCAGCCAACCCAACCATCCCGGGCGAACGCAAGCCCAGTGCAGCTCAGCAGCAAGCAGCAATTACAGCTTATGGCGTAGGACGTGCCAATTCGTGTACAGATGGACATCGATGGGACAGCTGTCATAGCAGTTTGCTTGAAGGACCAAGCAAGGGATTGGTTCACGCGTTCATTTGGCACTGCAACCCAGCACCCACACCCGGCGCAGAGCCCAGGCGTGCAGCAACACAAGGTGCTTGGTGGAGCGACGCCGTTGCAGTGGTATTCAAATCAGCAGCCACGCACGGTCCCGCCCCTGCAATCACCCATATTGACCGTACAGCAGCCTGCAGCATTTAGTGTATCGGCAAACCTGGAGTCCCAGTGATTTGGCGTTGTGTGTGTACAAAAGTGCCATGTACAAAAGGGACATGATCATCCGGCCATCTTCTGTTTGCCTTGGATCCATGTGTGAAACAAGCAACCGCAGACCCCGTGTCCAGCCCCTCAACACAACGACCGCACTTCCCTGGCGCACCCGTGCGCTTTGCCTCACCCCGCCTCCTCGCTGCCCTCGTCGCGCGGCAGGCCGGCCCCTGCCCTACCTGCTGCCGTCGCCGCCGCTGCTGCCTCCACCGGGCTGTGTCCCGCTGGCGAGGCGCGCGTCCAGGTAAGCCACAACCGCCGCCGCGCCCACTCGGCGCGCCTCGTCCAGGGGCGTCGCGCCCCACCGGTCCCTCACGGCCAGGTCGGCCCCTGCCTCCTCCACCAGCATCTTCAGCTGTCGTGGATTTTCAAAAAACAGCGAAACGATGCAGCACAGGGTGAGGGGAGTTGGACCAGCATTGCGTGGCAAAGACACGTGCAGGTGCTGCGTGGCCGCCCGTGGAGAAAATGGGGCGCAAGCGGGCTTGTTGAGGTTCAGGTCGTGCCATCCCCGCCAGCGGTAAATAGGCGCGTGCCAGCAAAAGTCGCACAGCAGCAGGCGCTGCTCGTACGCATGCGTGAATGGCGGGCGGGGGTCCCACCGCACAGGAGCGGCTCCGCCCCGCTCACCGCAGCCAGGGAGCCCTCAGCGGCGGCGATGTGGGCGGCTGTGCGGCCGTCGTAATCGCCGGAGTTGGGGTCCATCCCGCCGTGTACCAGGCGGCGCAGGAGCGCCACATCTCCTTCAAACACACACGTGCACAGATGAGACGCGCACGTGACCTGCGTGGCGGCGGCGTGAGAGCAGGGATTTGCAGAGCTTTGTCGCTGGTACGGCTGAGCACAAGCAGGGGTGATTAATCAGCGTGGCAGGCTGCAGCAGATGCGACCAAGTTGGATTCAGCCGCCTGTCCCAAGGCCGCCAATCTTGCGAAGCTGGCTTGCCGTCGGCCTCGCTCCCGCCCCTCCCTCATCCATCATCCGTCGCCCATCAGTGCACGCAAACACTGGTTGCGGCCCCGGGTATCCGAGCCAAGCGGGGCCGACCTGCGACATCTGTATCTTGGCGCCCGCCTCCAGCAGCTGGTCGACGATGACGTCATGCGCCCCCTTGGCCGCCTCCACCAGGGGGCAGCCCTGCAGGGCAGACAGGCAGCACGAGGGTGGCGAATGTCAAGCAAGCAGCCAGGGTCTGGAGACAAGACATGCATACTCGCACCAGACCTCACGGCATACATACTGCACACCTACAACAGCTGTGTGCACAAACACCTGCGTTTGTTTGTGCGTGCGCGCACGCCGCATGCACACTCGCGCGCGCACACACACACACACACACACACACACACACACACACACGCGCGCACATACACACGCGCGCGCAGTCGCACGCACGCGCCCACCTGGAAGGCATCTTTGGCGTTGGGGTCCGCCCCAGCAGACAGCAGCACAGACACGGCCTCGTGGTGGCCTTGGCCGGCAGCCAGCATGAGGGCAGTGCGGCCGTCGTAGTCAGAGCTGTCGGGGCTCAGCCCCTGCTGCAGCATCTGATGGCGCGGTCGGTATGGGTTCGGTGGGGATACGCAAGTTGTTTGTGTGGGGAAGTGTGGTTGCTGCAACGAGCAGAGGTCACGATGCTGCAATCAATGAAGGGGGGCAGCATTTGACAGACTAGATACCGCTACAGGGCTCCTGTTGCCGGCTCTGCCACAGTTGTACGAACCGGCCGATGGCGCCAGCCCCACAAAGGTTCCGGGTTTCCCCCGCTCGGCGCGCGCACGCGCAAGCGCTGCTCACCGCCCGCAGCCGCCCTGTGTTGCCGAGTTTGGCGGCCTCCAGGAACTCGGCCGTCCTCTCGCGCTGTAGCTTCTGCTTCTGAGCCTCTACCAGCATGCGCACCCGCACCAGGTTGGACAGCGCCTGGGGGTGTTTGAGGTGTTGGAGAAAGGATTGCTGGCGATTTGCTGGAGGGGACGCGGCCGAATTCGCCCGTTTTGCATGAACTGCGGCAACGTCGCGCTGCTGCTTGTCAGAGGAACAGTCCGCCGAAGCCACAGAGGCATGGTAGCGTGCTTCCTCCCGGCGCCCCTTGTGGGCAAGTCCCACAGGCCGTTAAAAACTCGGGCACCCCCGTCGCACCATCTGCTGCTTCTGCTGCCGCGGCCGCATCGACTGCTGCTGATACAGGCCCTGCTTTTCCGTGGCCGCCGCGCCGCCGACGCCAACGCCGTTGCCACCAGTGGTGGCGGCGGCGGCCTCGTGCTGGCGCTTGGCGGCCGGGGCGGCGCTGACGAGCATGCCTTCGATGAGCTCTGGGCTGGCGTGGCGCAGGGCCAGCGAGTCGACGTCTTCCAGGTTCTCCACGGCGGCGTCGGCCGCAAAGGCAGAGATGTAGGCGCGCCGCACCATCTGACGGGTTGCAGTGCGGGGTGGTGCGCTTGCGCGTCACAAGCAGGGCAAACGTGGCATGTGTTGTGTATGAGCAGGCGGGCCACCCACTTCTCTCTGTTGCCCACGCCGTCATGCTCCAAACCACGTGCCTGACTGTTCTCAACCGTCCAGTTCGCCGATGCCACCCCTCACATCAGATCGCCCGCACCGGCATCACATCAAAACAGATCAGATCAGATCAGATCACCCACCTCCTGGGCCTCGTTCAGCAGGTTGTCGAGCATGATCTCTGTCGACAGGGGAAAGCTGGCTGCCAGCGCCATGTAGGCGGTGCGGCTGATGCTCAGCACGCGGCAGACGGTGGTCGTGCGGACAATCTGGGCGCAGGGTGGGGG